TTTGAGACAAGGTCTGAGATATATCCGGGGGCAGAGTTGTGGATGGCTTTATAAGTGATTGTTAATATTTTAAATTTTATCCTCTGGGCGAGTGGAAGCCAGTGGAGGGATTGGCAGAGGGGGGGCGGGGGATGGAAGCCAGTGCAGGGATTGCAGACACTGAGCTGTTGGTCAGGTGGATAAGTCTGGCAGCAGCATTCATGATAGACTGAAGAGGGGAGGAGCCTGTGTAGAGGTCGGCCAATGAGGAGGGAGTTACAATAGTGGAGACGAGAGATAACAAGGGAGTGGATGAGCAGCTTTGGTTTCATTGGTGAGGAATGTTATCCAACCAGTGGCCTCTGTGCCCGCTCCTTCTCCAGGGTGAGGCGCCTGGATTGGACAGACTGGCTACTGAACCCCATATTATTTTGTCCACACCTGCCGGGCCACGAGTCATGTGACATCTCTGCTGTAGTTGCTATGTGGCCGCTGGCTGTCATGGGGTAAGCTGGGCGTGGTTTGTTACGCCATTCACCTGGCCTCCAGCCCTCCCACATTCATACATATTGACAGGTACAACTCCCATTGCATGGTGGGAATTATAGTTTCTTTCAGCAGCATCGTATAGTGAGGGGAAGTGATGTCATCAGTTCCATGATGTGTCCTTGCGGGGCCCGACATCACAGACTTCTTAAAGGTTCTTTCCTCCAAAACCATGAAGGTTTATAAATTGTAATGTTCTTTGGGACAGGAAGTGATCAACCAAATGGAGTTCAGCATTTGTTTCTAATTATAATAACTTGTGATGATGATTATTCTATAATAACCCTTCAATCCTGTTTCTGAGCAGAAATGTCTGAGAAATGTAATGATGGTACATCAGGCCTGAGCTTGTGTTCTTATGTGTCAGGCTCCATCGATGAGGGTGTTGGGGAAGGACTGCCCGCGCTCCAGGGACAGGCAAGCACCAATGTTCATGCAGATGATGATGACAGGTAGGTATTATTTCATACTGTTTGTCATTTCTTTTTGGATCAGTGCAGATTGATCTGGGATACATCTGATCCCATGCAAATTAACACACTTCATTTTATTGCCGCTAAGTGCTCCATTAAGGTGGACCTGTTATTTGATATATTTTTGCATGTTAGATGCAGCATGCTGGGTATTCCCTCTGACAATGCCTTCACCTGCATTTATTTTTCTCCAGAAAGAAGGTAATATCTTAGGTCAGTCATCATCCAGGATCATCATATACTTCCTGGACTGAGATGGCGGCTCAGACATATCAGAATCATGTAAATCCTGGTGCCTGTGCAGCTTAGTTATGTTCACAAATGTCTGACACATATCAGCCCCTGCTGCAGCTGACTAGAGCTCAAGGATGGCTTTTGATTGATAAATATAATGATCCTGTTGCTGTATGTTGTGGCATGTCAGAAATACAGTATATTTATGGACTTGTAAAGTTACTGACAGGTCCAATGAACACGTAGGGTGATCCCTCAGGGTGGATTGCCCTATGTGACTCTGGCTTTTGTTTTCCATGCTACAGTCTGGTGTTTGGGAAAACATGATCTCCTATGGTGTAAATAAGGTTTTATTCTGCACACTGATCCGTATTTCTAGTCCACTCATTTGATGTCTGTGCAGCAGAAACGCAGGATCTATCATTGTAAAGTGCACCATACCGGGAACATCCTGTTGGATGTTCCCGGTATGGTAGGGGTATAAATGCTGGGAGATGTTCTTGGTATGGTGGGGTATAAATGCTGGGAGATGTTCCTGGTATGGTAGGGGTATAAATGCTGGGAGATGTTCCTAGTATGGTGGGGTATAAATGCTGGGAGATGTTCCTAGTATGGTGGGGTATAAATGCTGGGAGATGTTCCTGGTATGGTGGGGGGTATAAATGCTGGGAGATGTTCCTGGTATGGTGGGGGGTATAAATGCCGGGAGATGTTCCTGGTATGGTGGGGGGTATAAACACACTAACTGATACGGCCCATCATATGTAGTTTTCCGGATGTGAAGATAACAATGGAAATGTGATTGATGGAGAAAGACATCAGAATTGATATTTCAATCATTAGGAGTTGTAGTGTTAGTAAGACAATCCATCCGGGTTATAGATAGATGTGTATTATGAGTAACTGGTCCTCTGGAGGACACTCTTGTGACGGGTCTTTCGGGGGACCCTGTGGTGAAAAGCTCATGTGATAGATCCTCTGGAGGACACTCTCTGGTCTCTAGCTCATGGACAGGTCCTCTGGAGCGCCCTATGGTGTAAAGTTTCTGTGACGGGTCCTCTGGAGCGCCCTATGGTGTAAAGTTTCTGTGACGGGTCCTCTGGAGCGCCCTATGGTGTAAAGCTTCTGTGACGGGTCCTCTGGAGCACCCTATGGTGTAAAGTTTCTGTGACAGGTCCTCTGGAGCGCCCTATGGTGTAAAGTTTCTGTGACGGGTCCTCTGGAGCGCCCTATGGTGTAAAGTTTCTGTGACGGGTCCTCTGGAGCGCCCTATGGTGTAAAGTTTCTGTGACGGGTCCTCTGGAGCACCCTATGGTGTAAAGTTTCTGTGACGGGTCCTCTGGAGCGCCCTATGGTGTAAAGTTTCTGTGACGGGTCCTCTGGAGCACCCTATGGTGTAAAGTTTCTGTGACGGGTCCTCTGGAGCGCCCTATGGTGTAAAGTTTCTGTGACGGGTCCTCTGGAGCACCCTATGGTGTAAAGATTTTGTGACAGGTCCTCTGGAGCACCCTATGGTATAAAGTTTCTGTGACGGGTCCTCTGGAGCGCCCTATGGTATAAAGTTTCTGTGACGGGTCCTCTGGAGCACCCTATGGTGTAAAGATTTTGTGACAGGTCCTCTGGAGCGCCCTATGGTGTAAAGTTTCTGTGACGGGTCCTCTGGAGCACCCTATGGTGTAAAGATTTTGTGACAGGTCCTCTGGAGCGCCCTATGGTGTAAAGTTTCTGTGACGGGTCCTCTGGAGCACCCTATGGTGTAAAGCTTCTGTGACGGGTCCTCTGGAGCACCCTATGGTGTAAAGTTTCTGTGACGGGTCCTCTGGAGCGCCCTATGGTATAAAGTTTCTGTGACGGGTCCTCTGGAGCACCCTATGGTGTAAAGATTTTGTGACAGGTCCTCTGGAGCGCCCTATGGTGTAAAGCTTCTGTGACAGGTCCTCTGGAGCACCCTATGGTGTAAAGCTTCTGTGACAGGTCCTCTGGAGCACCCTATGGTGTAAAGCTTCTGTGACAGGTCCTCTGGAGCACCCTATGGTGGATAGCTCAGCTCATATTTCTGTTGTCTTTTCTCAGACTGGAAAATGTGCAGTACCCCTACCAGCTGTACCTGACTCCCTCCACCAGCAGTACAGAGCGGCCTAGTCCTAATGGCCCTGACAGACCTTTCCAGTGCCCCACCTGCGGAGTGCGCTTTACTCGGATTCAGAACCTCAAGCAGCACATGCTGATACATTCTGGTCAGTACTTGGGGTGTGGTGGGTGGGGGAAATAAGTGTCCATAGTGCCTGTTTGTGGTGTCATCTGTCCACTTCTCTCTCAGCTTCCATCTCTAGAGGTTTTGAGGTGCTGTTCACTCCGAATGAGAGGTTTGCTTCAATATTCTTCATACATTCCTCTGAGCCCATCCAGTTTTGCTGTCACTAGATCTTCTGTAGCGGGCAGTTAAATCTCATGGAGTAAATGGTTTCATTTTAAAGCGGATCTCCAGCAACTACATTCACAATAGATGTATGTACATGTAAATATTACCTGCCAAAATATGTCTCATTCTGCTCATTGATTTACACTACGTGGCCACACAGTGCCTATCCTCCCACACTCATTCTGCTTCACAGGGAATCGTGGGAATGTAATAGAAAGATTTCAGATGTTTCGTATAACTGTATTTGAATATGTATTTAGGGCTTGTGTAGAAAGTTGTTTTCCTGCACTTGACACAAGTTTGAAGTGCATATAAAACACAGGTCCACAGACTCCAGATGACAATGATGTTGCAGTATGGATGATACTTCTAAACCTACATTTAGTCTGTTTAGACACCGCAGGTTCTACTCATATGTGTTAGCTTTGCAGGTCAGACACCGCATTTTTACTTTGTCTACACAAGCCTTAAATGTTTCATTTTCATCATTCCTAGCTGGATTGCATGGCGGGTTTTATGCTTTCCTGTAGTTCTGCTTTAATTAGTTCTGTTAGACTGAGTCTACACTGGCATCACTATGGGAGGTACACAGCACATATTTCTGACTTTTGCCCAGCAACCCCCATCTGTCGGGTCTGAAAATGTTTGCTAACCTGACACCTTTCCCCATTAATTACGCATGATATTGTTCCCGCTGACATGAACGTTGAGTGTACTGTTCAGGACTTGGGTGGCCAGTCATCTTGTTTCTCAGAAAAGTGACACCGCTCCAGGCACCTCTGTTCTTCCGCCTTGGGTGCTGGATCCAACAACTGCATTTCATTACCTACAGAATTCTTTATTCAATTGGAAAGAGATATTTTAGTGCTGGGCCAAAGGTTTCAGGGCTTGTTCACACCATGTCCAGACCAGAACACTTCGTTCCCATACCAAAAAAGCATCCCAATGTATCCCTGTGGTATTTCTGGGCTCTGTTCACACCAGCGCAGTCCGTTCCGGACCAGAAAAAAAAATACTGCTTGTCTCCTTTTTCTCTGGTCTGGAATGCACTGAAACGCATACAAATGCATCATAAATGCATACAAATGCACTGGAATGCACCTGTAAGCCTATTTTAAGCTTTAAAAAACCCACCTTGAACGCTGCAAAATTGCGGTAAGAACTGGTACAGAAAATGGTGTGAACCTGGCCTTAGAAAGGGGAAAGGACCTAAAAGCTAAATCAGGGGGCAGCTCTCTCGTCAGCTGGGGTATCCTCAAGGGTCCCTAGAACAGTCTAGAGACATGTAAAAGAGTGCCACTGAACTAATATGAGTCCAGTAGGTTTTTGTTTATTACAACAGATTCAATGTGTTTTAGGGGCTTAAATGCTGGCAGTAATTAAGGATAAAACTGGACAGAAATATCTTTACAAATGAGAGTATATTTACAGACATTTTAGCTGTTTTGAGCCTTTGAAATGCTTTTTCATGAAAAACCGAAACCTACTGAACTCCTCATTTTTTCTCCAGGTGCTCCCATCCATTTTACATTATTAAACTGTATTCAGCACAACTCCTCCTGCAGAAGCTCCTAAAGTATTCCACTCCAAAGAGATCCATTGTTGAATAAGCCCTTCAGAGTGAAAGCCTCAGAGGCTGTGCAGGATGTGTTGTGTGGAATGAAGTTTATGGAAAGACTGGAACCTTAGGTATTAATTCTATTAGGATTTATATCCAAACATAGACACTGGAGGCTTTACTATACTATTCTGCACCTGTGTAGACTGATGCTGGCAACACACATTGCATTCTCATTGTATCATTTAGATTTACTAACAGCTATGCAGTTTGAGTGTCTACCCAATTCGCTATAAATTGAATGGACTGTGTAGGTAGGCCTTGGTAAATCTGAAGGAGATGGCACAATGTAATGTGTGACCAGCTCTGAACAGTGGGGATCTGTACATTTTCTGTGTGTGTGTGTGTAAGAGTCACAAGTCTCTGATAGTGATTTATGTTGATGGCGTGCCTCTCTCTCCTTCAGGAATTAAACCGTTTCAGTGCGATCGCTGTGGGAAAAAATTCACTCGGGCATACTCCTTAAAGATGCATCGGCTGAAACACGAAGGTAAACGCTGTTTCCGGTGCCAGATATGTAGTGCCACATTCACTTCCTTCGGGGAATACAAACACCACATGAGGGTTTCCCGGCACATTATCCGCAAGCCTCGGATATATGAGTGCAAAACATGCGGTGCCATGTTCACCAACTCTGGAAATTTAATCGTGCATCTGAGGAGCCTGAATCACGAAGCGTCAGAGCTAGCAAACTACTTCCAGAGCAGGTGAGGTGCCCAGCAAGAAGATGGCAGAGGGCTGACAGGCCTAAATAACCAAATCTTCCTTCACACAGCACAAGGAGCTTCCTGCTCTCTGCAGGGCATTCACAGATCAGCCATCTCTCTGTATGTATAGAGCCAAACACTCTAGATTTATGTCAACAAATGGATTGCAGAATAAGACTGAAATATGTACAGTGCCAGACTTGTGAAAGAGGTAGATACATAAGAGGCACTGGATCTCCTATCATTAGTGTCCAGTGTTGTAAATGACCGTCTCGTTGATGAATCGCTTTGGTGAGGCTGCTTCCATTTACCAGCGTACCCCCAAACAAAGAAGGGGGTCCTGAGAGAAATCCAGATATGTAGAAAGCAGTAAGAGCACCACTCCAGTGGTTAATAGTCCACAGTGTTTTTGGATAATAAGAAAGCTGACACATGTTGGTGGTTACCATTCTCCGGGGCTTATATGTTATGTAACTTCGGATATCGCTGTATTCAGACTTATGAAAAAACCTTCACGCTGCAGCACTTGCTGGTGCTAACATTCTCATGTGATATTTATAAACATACATTTCATATTTATACAGTTACATAACCTAAAAGCCCCAAAGTGGTGCCCTTAATTCTTTCAAAATATCTAGATTGTTGACTCTAGAGAAATGTTACTTTTCTGAAGGAAAACAAATCTGAAGTACATCCAATTGGTAAAATATATGTGGAACTGTAATCAAAGGGAAACTATAGGACAGTTGCAGTGAGAACACTTGTTGTATTAGTTTACATTTTTACAGTAACATTTAACCCCTTCATGACTGAGCTAGTTTTCAGGTTCTGTTCATAAATGACTGACACATTTTTTACATTGTTGCTGTGTGATTCTTCCACAGCAGTAATATACTTTCTTACTAAATGTACCCACACATATTATATTTTTAGAGGACAGATAGGGCTATATAATTATATCACACATGTGTACCTAACCCCTCACTTAGTTTGAATAAAATAAAATAAATGAAGAAAAAAACTAGAAGAAAACACTTTTTTCACAAGTTTTGATTATTATTATTTATTTTAGAATTTTTTAATATTAATTATAGTATACAAAATATATTTATATATAATTTATATTTTCCTAATTTTGTTTTACACTTTATTTTTATTTTTTTACACTTTGTAAAAAAAATAAAAAAATAAAAAAAAAAACTTTTTTTTTTTCTTGTCAGTTTATATCAAGCAATCACTATGACAGCTTGATAAATTAACTTTTTTATTTTATTTTTGGCTATTAGGCTGATCCAAACTTAGGAACAGCTAATAATAACCTTAGAGACTGATCCTGACTTTAGTCAGATTCAGATCTCACTAAAAGCTCTTTGATCGGCCCAGACGATCAGAACCGATACATTTCACGCAAAAGATATACATTGTATCTTTTGAGTGAAATGTATCTAAACATCGGGCTCTCCAGCTGTCAAAACAAATAGCAGAGAGGTGAGGTGAGTCACTGCTGCCTCTCTGCTATTTTCAGCTGTCAGATATGGGATCGCAAATTGCAGTCCTCTATTTGCATGTAACGGCTTCATTCTTTCATTAATGAAAGGAAGAAGCTTTTACAAAAAGCTTAATTATTTCATTAATTAATGCCTCAATACTGAGACATTAATGAATGACTGTTAAATGCTGAGAATCAGCAAATACCGGCATTACAAAGCCTGATATAACTCGTCACGTACAGTGTACGTGGCCAGTCATATAGGCACAAAGTGACAGGACGTACACTGTACGTCTCCCGTCACGAAGGGGTTAATAATGAGTTTCATATTCAGGCTTTCATTTTTAGATTTCATCTACAGATGTATAGATTCTCTCTCTAGTAACTATCTGTATATCAGACAGTGAGTCTGCATCCCTGCTGAACAGCTGCTTTTGAAAAAAAATGTATATGCCTGATTGACTTGCGGGGAGAGAATAAAGCCATAGTAATCAGATCCCTGCCTATGTTATGAAGTATGAACATTACTATACGTGATTGTCTGACTATAGATTCCCTTTAATTACCTTCGGTTCCTATTTGTTGCAGTTTAACTCCTTCTTGTGAGTTCATTCAGTAAAATTCCAAAAAGAATCAAACATGTTAAAAAGTGCAGCAAATCAAAGCAACCAATCAAATGGAATGTCCAGTAAAGTAGAGAGGGATGCTTTCTGATTGGTTGCTGTGATTCTTGAATTACACATATTGCTCTTTATCTTACCAAAGATGGAATTTGAACATAGCAGCAGCTTTGGGTGGACTGACCTGTAATAGTGACATTAGTTCACTTGTCATATTGTGAAACATAATTGCTGATAAAATTCAATATTATTATTGAAATTGATTTATATAGCACTGTTGTCTGTGGGAGGCACTGTAAAGGAGCAATACCAGTTTCTTGATCACATTGTTTTCACTTGCCAGCAATGCATATGCTTTTCATATCTAATATACACACCTATATCTCTGCAGCCCTGTCACTTTATCACCCGTGTAAAGCTCCACAGAGGTGGATAAGATGCAGAATATTGCTGATCAATGGCCCCATATACAGTGTGTCAGATCACCAGAGCTGTAATTACAGAATACATTAAAAATTGAGTGTCAATCTGGTATAGACATTATGGGCCCCATAAACTATTGATTGTGATATATATTTTTTGTTGGTGCACCAAGTGTGACGTCACAAAAAAGTTGGATAATCTGTACCAAAGAATTGATTCTTCAGATAAACAGTTTGGTGATCTTTGTCACAATAGAGGTGTGCAGTATTGCACTGATAGGATGATGATGCATGATAGTTGAGGTTTCTGTGCCTAATAATCTATATGTAACATAATATATAGGTGAATTGCAATGCAACACTTCACATTCCTCTACAACCCCAATCTAAGTGTATGGGGCCTTAATAGTTTTATACCATCTCTGTAATATACATTTCTATACAGCTTAGACTTCAGTGACCCCCCAGATACCTTTCAGATTAAATCAGGTAAAAGAAACCGTAAACATTTACATTTTAAACAGTCTCTGATGACAGAAATTTTAGGACAGCAGAGAACCCCACACATGGAATCAAGTAATGAGTAACAAGATATGTAGATGCTCTCCTGGTACCCATGACTACATTCTGATGGAATGAGCCCGTCTTCCACATTCCTCTCATACTGTCCCCACCATCATTTTATGAGTAAAAACTGATTTCTTATGCTGTGTGTCACACTTCCAAACATGCATTCTCCAGGCCAAGTTATGTGCTGGCAGAATAGATAGGATTAGTAACTTTGTTTTTCTCCTTCAGCCTTTGCGATTGTGTAAATTATCTTGTCAGAACGAGGAGAGGTTTAACTAGATCATTGCCCTGTTTTAATCCTGTCACATCACTGTCCTGTAATGGAAGAATAAGCCGCTGGTGTTATGTGTTTGTGATGGAAATCAGGACCTCCAAACACTCTGTTATAAGAAATAGGGCTGAAACAACTAATCGATCATGAGAATCGTTTCAACGGTGATCACTGTCCTCAGTGTAATGATACAGAGACAGTACAACCATACAGGTTCCCTCCAGTGATCACTGTCCTCAGTGTAATGATACAGAGACAGTATAACCATACAGGTTCCCTCCGGTGATAACTGTCCTCAGTGTAATGATACAGAGACAGTACAACCATACAGGTTCCCTCCGGTGATAACTGTCCTCAGTGTAATGATACAGAGACAGTACAACCATACAGGTTCCCTCCAGTGATCACTGTCCTCAGTGTAATGATACAGAGACAGTATAATTATACAGGTTAAAAAGATATCTGGCTAACGGGAGCGCAATAGGAGGAGCAGTCGACATGAGCTTCAGCAGCGGAAACCATGGACGATTTTGCCAACAAGGAATGATCGCTATGGCTGCTACCTCTTCTCTCTGAATCTACAAAAGAGTTTTTAGGATGAGAGCCGTGGGAGGAAACACATACACCAGGCGAAAGTTCCATGGATGAGACCCGGCATCCTGACCCTTCGACTGCTGGCAGTGATATTGGGGGTAAAAAATACTGGAAGACGAGCGTTGACCAGCGTTGCCATCAGGTCCACTTCTGGCCACCCCCACACAGCAAATATTGCCTGAAGGTGCTTGTTGTACAACATCCCATTTGTTGTGTTGATGAAAATTACAACTTAGATCGTCTCGCTCTGTGTTCACCGGAACCCAGGAGATAAGAGGCTGATAGAGAGAGAACATTGTGTTCCGCCCATCAGACAATCTCTGCCGCAATCCTCAACAGAGGCATGCTTCTCGTCCATCCGTGATTGGTGATATAGGCCACCGCCTTCATCTTGTCCATCAAGAGATGAACATGGTTCCCTCACAGGGAAGGTGCAAAGACCTTCAGTGCTTCCCATGCAGCCTTCAACTCCAAACGGTTTGACAAATAGGGAACTTGATATGTCCACCTTCCTTGGGCCAACTGGGTTGAGCAATGTGCTCCCCAACCCTTCTTGCTTGCGTCGGAAGTAAGTATGGTCACTTCGGATATGATCAAAGGCAGCCCTTGACTCAAATTGGCAGGTCTCGTCCACCAAGTTAATGACTGCCTGACAAAATTTGGAAGGACGATCTTTTGCTCCAAGAGATGGTGATCCCATTGCTGTAGAAACGCAACCTGGAGATGTGTCAGATGCCAATGAGCCCAAGCCACTACAGGAATGGTTGAACTCATGAGACCCAGCACTCTCATGCATCATCTTGCAGAAATCGAAGACTCCTTCAGATTTTGAGCCACCGAAACTAGATGAGTGATCTTCCTTTGAGGGAAAAAAACTCTTCCTTGTATCGTATTGAAGATCACCCCTAGATATTCCAATATCTGTGCTGGATTCAACTGACTTTTTTGAAAGTTTATAATCCATTCTAATGACTTAAGCACTTGAAGGACTCTCTCTCTCGATGTATAAGAATCTTCTTTAAATCTGCCATGAG